AAAACCCAGCCAGAGGTGGGGAAAAGCCATGCCTTCTCCCCGCCCCACTGCACTGCCCCCAACAATTCATCAGAAGCCAAGGCAAACAAGGCAAGCAGAGCAGCCCAAGCCCTTCCTCGCCTGCACACCAAGCCAGCTGGTGCACAGTTCTGACCCCCTTCTCTGCTCCCCTCACGGGGGTTTTGGTCAGGTTGGCTCCCCCCTGCCCCACACCCAGCCCGGGACAGGGTGGGTGGCACAGGCTGTCGGCAAGGCCGGGGCCTGTCTCACAATAACCCCCCAGCCCCACCCAAAAGCAACTTGGCTGAAGAACTAACCCTGTTCCCCCTCAGCCAAAGGGGCAATCTCCGGGGCCACACCCGGGCATGGCCATGCGATGCCCGGCACCAGGAGCATCCCCCGGCTGTGGGCTCACCTGCAAACTGGGTGTAGGCCGTGTCCTGGAGGAAGGTGCCACATCCAAAGTCCAGGAGCTTGGCCTCGCCGGTGGCCAGGTGGAGGAGGATGTTCTGGGGCTTGATGTCCCGGTGCAGGACGCCGCAGCTGGTGCAGTGCCGCACGGCCTGCAGCACCTGGCAGAACAGCCCCCACGCCATCTCCTCCGGCAGGAACCCCCACGCCGTGATTAAGCGTGAGAGGTCCTGAGACGGCTCCGGATGCTCCATAACCATCAAGAATCCGTTGGGGAGCTCGAACCACTCCAGGAACTGGATGATACCAGGAAAGCCAGTGGACACCTTGCTCAGCAACACGATCTCCAGGGGTGCCCGGGTGCCGTCAGGCTGCGGGGGGACCACGGGGTCGTCAGTGGGGCTGATGCCGTGCCTGTCTGCCTGCTCCCCCTCCGCCAGCCCTGGATGCTCCCCGTCCCCCACTGAGCCCACGCCCGCTCTCCCTCCAGGGCTCCCGGCGGCTTCCACCCTCCCGGGCCTCGGCTCGTCCCCGCCCGTCCCGCTTTCTGCCGCCGGCCCCGCTCACTCACCAGCTCGCCCCACTGCCGGATGCCATCCCGGGACACGGCTTTGATGGCCACCTGCAAGCCAAGGGGAACGGCGGGTTCAGCTCGCCGCCCGCCCCACTCTCCTCCCCCTCCTCCTCCTCCCCTTCCTCCTCCCCTTCCTCCTCCTCCCTCTCTTCCCCCCCTCCTCCTGCTCCTCCTCCTGCACTCACCGGGGCTCCGTCCGCCAGGCAGGTCCCCGCGTAGACGCGGCCGAAGCCGCCGCTGCCCAGCAGCGACTCCAGCCGGTAGCGCTCGTGCAGCGGCTCCTTGGCCTTCCGTGCGGGCGAGACGTGGCCGGGAGCGTTCGGGCCGGGGCCCGGCCCGGCCCCCGAGCGCCCCTCAAGCGGCCCGGGCCGGGCTTCCCCAGCCGCAGCGGGCAGCGGCGGCTCGCTGCCGGCGGCCGGGCTGGCGAGCGGCGGAGCTCTGGCCGGGGAAGCCGCCGAGGAGGCGGCAGCGGCCGCGGCGCCCGCGTCCCCCGCCGGCCCCGGCAGGCGCCGGGCTCGAGCCAGGCGGAGCCAAGGGGCGGCGAGGCCGAGCCCGTCCCACAGCCAGCCCCACAGGAGCGCCCAGCAGCGCCACAGCCGGCGCGCCGGGAGCCGGGCGAGGGCGAGACCGCGCCGGGACAACCGGGGACGGGGCCGGGGCGGCCTCGGCCGGCAGAGGGGAAGGGCCGGGGCCATAGCCCGGGCTGGCAAGTGGAGGGGGAGACCGGGAACGGGACAGGGACACAGGGACAGGGACACCGGGACAGGGACACCGGGACAGCGGGACACCGGGACTCTGGGACAGGGACACCGGGACTGGGACAGCGGGACACTGGGACAGGGAGAGGAGGAAAAGGCAAGACGAAGAGTACGACCGAGAGCGCGTCTCTATAGTCACTGCTGCTGCTGCTGCTGCCGCTGCTGCTGCTGCTGCTGCTGCCGCTGCTGCTGCAACTGCTGCTGCAACTGCTGCTGCTGCCGAAGCTCCGGGGCCGTTTGTCCGTTTGTCCGTTCCCTGTTGGGCCCCGCGCGCCCCGGGGGCAGCCCCGGCCGCTCCGCTCCCAACCAGCCCCGGCCGCAGTCACGGAGCTCCCCTTCCTCCCGCCCCCACGCCAAGACCTCGGGCTTTTTTAGCTGCTTCGCTTTAGTTGAATTTCTTTGCTGGCGAGTTTGCAACTTCCCACCGCTGCTCGGACCCCATCCCGCCCGCTCGGCCCGCCCGCGCTGCTGTCGCTTCCTCCCAGGCCAGCCGGGCTCTGGACTTGCCCCTGAAGTTTGGGAAGGTGTTTGCTCAGTGAGGAGCCCCGGCACGTCCGGCCAGCGCCAGGCAGAGCCAGCCCCGGGGGAGGGCAGAGCAGGAGGATGGGCAGGGGAAATGCAGCCCTTTGGGGTCAGCGCTGCTCCCCGAGCACACCAGGGCTGCTCCTGTTTTCCTGCCCGGTTCGAGGGAAAATCGGCAACTGCAGAGAGGATTAAAAAGAAGAGAATCAGAAGACTGTTCTTGCTGCCATTTGGATGCCAGTCCATCCCAATAAATGCAGGCTTAATTTGGAAAGGACACGATGTAGCAGCTTTTTCAGCACCCAATATTTAACAGCTGCCTTTCAGGGGACAATGGGAAAAGGGGGGGAGAACGGGAGAAAAGGGGGACTGGGACCTCCAAAGTGATTGAGGAGGGGGCTGAGACCGAGCAGGGCAGAGGGGAAGCAACACCCTCAAACCGAGCTGGGGAGAGCTGGGGACGGTGGGGACGATGGGAAAGGGGTGGGAGAGGGGAGAAAAGGGGTGTTGGACAGTGGGCAGGGGGACAGAGGGCAGGGGGTTCCCAGATGGGTCTCCCCTGTCCCCCATCACTTGAGCCCTGGAGTGGTTCCCGGGGCTCTGGGAGGGGGCAGATCCGCACTGGGAATGTCCACTGCTTCTGGAACCCTTTGTGTGCTTGCTCTGGTCCTGATTGTCCACAGGTGCCCAACCCCCCTGTCCATCCCTGGGGGGCTGATGGGGGGACTCCCCCACCCAGCAGCTGGTGCTGCAGCAGCTGTGGGGCAGAGGGGGGTGGCAAAGGGGGGTCCGGGGTGGCTCCCTGAGCTCCCAACCTGCTGTGGGGGCTGAGGGCTGCTGGGGGGCACCCCCTGACCTGTGTCCCTGCACACCCAGGGCTGTTCCAGGTCCTGGGAAAAGCCGAGTGAACGGCCCCGACCGGGAGAGGTTCCTGCCCGGGTCCATCTCCAACTGGGAGCAGCTCAGGCTCTTCAGCAGAGATTTGGGCACCTGGGGGGACACCCCGTGTGGGGAGACCCAGGCCAGGCACTGGAAGAGTCAAAGGGAGCTCCTGGAGAACAGACAGGATCAGGGGACATCAACTGCTGGCACAACTACGAGAATGTGGCCCCGTTTGCCCGGCCTGGGAACCCCCATTTTTGGGGTAATCTCCCCCAAATCCTCCCAAATCCTCCCCTGAATCCCCAAATGCCCCCAAATCCCAGTAAAATAGTGGGGCTTAAGATGTCTTTGTTCAGTGTCTTTCTTTTAAATTCAACAAACCAGCTCTTCCCAATGAATTTCCAAGGTCAGTTTGTGACCCCATGGATGTTTCTCCCACTGTGTTCACCCAGGTGCCTGTGGGGAACCAGGAGGATGTGGAGACCACCAGCCAGGTGTCTTCCCAACGTGGATCCTCTGATGGGTGATGGAGTTGGAGCAGCAGACGAAGCTCTTCCCACAGTCAAGGCACTCCCAGGGCTTCCCTTACTGGTGGGTCCCTTGGTGTGAGGTCAAGGCAGAGCTCTGGGTGAAGCTCTTCCCACACTCCCGGCATCGTAGGGCCTCTCCCCGCTGTGGGTGACAAGGATGGAGTTGTGCTCTCTGTGCTCAGCTCGGGGCCTGGGGCAGGAAGGAAGAAGGACAGGGAGGGGATTTGCCTCCGGCCCAGAGGGAAGGCCAAGGACATCCCCCCAAATCCATCCCCGGCAGGACGGCGGCGGCAGCGGGGTTGTCCTGCAGCCGGGGGCGATGCTCGGCTGGGAGATACAGGACAAGACAGGGGCAAAGGGGCACTGACTTCCTCCTCACCTGCCTGGGGGTCCCGGGGCTTCTTCCTCTTCCTCACAGCCTCCTCCTCCATTCGGCCAAGGTTTGGGAAGGAGAAATCCTGTTCTGGGGAGGAAAACAAAGTGTGAGTGCATTGGGTTGGGGGTTCCTCCTGCCCAAGTCCATCTCTAGATGTTACCAAGCGACTCCTGGCCAAGAAAACCTCCAAAACACCAAGATTCAGCCCAAAACAACCCTCTCAGGAGTGGAGTTCCCCCTTGCTGGTCTATCCACTTTGGGGTTCTGGGGTCCCTTCTGTGTGGTCTGCTGGAGGTCTCGCATGCATTGGGGGACCCCTTCTCTGGAGTCCCCACCCTCTCTGGGCTGCCAGAGATCCCGGGAATCTCAGGGGTCCTTCCTTTATGGGCTCCTCACTTTGCCATTCTGGGGATCCCCCTTCTCTGGGCTGCTGGGGATCCCGGGGGTTCCCCTCTCTGGGGTCCCTTTTAGGGTTGCCAGGGGGTTTTGGGGTCCCAGAGGTCTCTTCTCCCCTGACTCTCGGCTTCGGGGTGCTGGCGATCCCAAGGTGTCCAGCCCTCTTTCCAGGCTGCCGGGGGTCCCGGCTCCCCCCACCGCCCTCGCTGCTCCCCCCTCCTCTCCAGACTGCCAGGAGTTCCCCCTCTCCAGGCCCCCATTTCACGTTCCAACCCGCACCTCTCCCAGGGGTCCCCAAAGCTGGGGTGTGTGTCCCGTGTCCCCCCACTCCCCGCCGGTATCCGGCGATCGCCACGTGGCTGCGGGGACCCAACATCCCCCTGCCCATCGCCGGGGCTTTGCCGGCAGCCGCCACCAGGATCCCTCCTCCCCAAAAACCCACCTCCCGGGGATCTCCAATATCCGCCCAAGTGACATTTGCGGCTCAGTTTTGGAGTTCTGCAGAATCCAAACATCACCCCGCCCCCCCAAAAAAAATTCCCAAAGTCCCCGAAGATATTTGGGGTGAGCTCCCCCTCCCCGGTCACCTGCGGGATGCGGGGGTTGATGCTCCCGGGACGCGGGGGCTGCGGATACAGCGGGCGGTGGATCCACATGCGTTCTTTCTCCTCCTCCTCCTGCTCCTATTCCCACTCCTCCTCTTCCCGTCGGAGCTGGGGCAGGTCGGGATGGGGCAGCGCTGGGCTCT